TTGCACCGAGCCTTCCTGACATTATATCATGATGGCTCTGACAGAACCCAGCTCATAAGAGTCAGCTCTGATCACTTGGTTATTTGAGTTTCCATGATCAGATGCTTCTTCTCATCAGGACTCAGGAACACTCCAGGGGCTATTTTTAAAGTGGAGTATAGTTTCACTTCGGCAGAGGTCATGGCCTCCCTCTGAAAACTTAGGAATCTTGGTTGTGATTTTCCTATTGGGGCTTGCCTTAAATTCGAGAGACTTTTCGTACCACAGACAGCTTTAATACCATTGGACTTGCAAGGTTATATGAAGGTTAAGTGGTCCATGTGGCCAGACCGCTTGCCCCACAGCCTAGACCTGCTGCAGAACCTTTTCCTTCCTGGGCCCGACTTGGTAAATAAATCACAGCAATTTTCTCAAGTGTGAAATACGCTTCCTCCAGAATGCAAGAAGGCCTACCAAGCACTGTGCTTTCTTCTCGCTGATGGCAAAAGCCATCTAGTTCCATGGTCCAGATAGTTACTTACTACTTCCCTTAAATCTCTCAACTCCTGAGATATTATTCTTGCCAGTGTGTTCTTTTCTACTAGTATCAAATCCAGGGTCATCACCGGAAAGAAATTTAATTCTTTCACTGCTACATCAGCCTGGAGATATCAGGACTCCACGGACTAGCAGTGACGGAGTTCTCACTGTCAGCTGGTCAGGAAGTAATCCAGCTTTAATTTCCCATTGTAGAGTCTGCTTCCTGGGACCACTTCCCATCCCCAACGGTCCTATGTCAGGCTCCCTGGAAACAGACTCAGAGACAGAGATTTGCATGCCGAAGAGTTTTTGAGAAGTTCTATAAGTAGAAAGGAAAGCAGCACGGGGCAGGAGGAAAGTTGAAGTGAGATGCATTTGTAGCATAGGCCTCAGCAGATCCCATGAAGTGTTATGAAGTTGGATGACACTTCAGAGTTGTCCAGTTCTGGGGCAAATAAACCAGACTTTTGTATTCCCACATCAACCAGTTATTGAATATAGGCTACTTCTGAAAAAGGGCCTACTCACTCTGAGCAGCAATGGAATTTTTTTCTTGTAAGTCTAAAATTGGGGTGTCTGGGTGGCTCAGTCAGTTAAGCATCCAACTCTTTTTTTTTTTTTAATTTTTTTTTTTTAACGTTTATTTATTTTTGAGACAGAGAGAGACAGAGCATGAACGGGGGAGGGGCAGAGAGAGAGGGAGACACAGAATCGGAAGCAGGCTCCAGGCTCTGAGCTGTCAGCCCAGAGCCCGACGCGGGGCTCGAACTCATGGACCTCAAGATCGTGACCTGAGTCGAAGTCGGAGGCTTAACCGACTGAGCCACCCAGGCGCCCCTAAGCATCCAACTCTTGATAGCGGCTCAGGTCATGATCTCGCCATCATGGGATTGAGCCCCATGTAAGCTTCCACATTCAGCATGCGTTCTCTCAAATAAAGATTCTCTATCTTTCTGCCCCTCACCCCCTTGTGCTCTCTCTCTCTTTCTCAAAATACATAAACATTTTTTTAAAATAAAATAAAATTTTTTTAAGTCTGAAATTATTCAAAATTATTTTTGCTCAGATCACAAAGCCCTTAACTCTGGCTACACATTAACCACCCCTATTTTATATTTTGTACACACATACATTGTATTTTCCAATTAGTATATTATTGAATTTACTCATTTGCTCAAATTTTGGCTCAAAATTATCCCTCCTGCTTAGTGGTTGTTTTGGTATCTGATTGTTGCAATCTCTCTTAGTCTTTGTATGCCTGAAATGTCTTCATTTTGACCTCAATATTAAATGATAATTCAATTAGGTATAAAATTCTATGTTGGTAGTTATTTTTCCTAAACTGATTATATTGGTGCATCTCTGACATATACTGTTTCTGAGAAGTTTTTCTCTGAGAGTTATTCTTCCTTTGCATTTGCTGCAATGTATTCTTTTCTTTCTGCAACTGTTGTTAGATGTATACAGGAGCCTGTCCTTGTATTCTCCAGGTTCTTAAATATTCTTTCATATATATACTTCTCATCTCTAACACCATTGTTTTCTGGGTGAATTATTTATTACTCTCTTCCAATTTACTAATTCTTCCTTGCCTGTGTCTAACCTAGAGTGTATTCAGGGGCATCTGGATAGCTTGGTCTTTAAGCATCTGACTTTAGCTGAGGTCATGATCCCATAGTTCGTGAGTTTGAGCCCCACGTCAGGCTGTGTGCTGACAGCTCAGAGCCTAGAGCCTGCTTCAGATTCTGTGTCTCCCTCTCTCTCCACCTTCCTCTGCTCACACTCTGTCTCTCTCTCTCTCTCAAAAATAAACATTAAAAAAAAAAAACTTCAGAGTGTTTTCCACCTGTAGAGTTTTTAATTTCACTGCCTATCGTATTCATTTTCAGAATTTTTAACTAACTCTTTTTCATATCCAGCTCTTTTTTTTGTTTCCTTTTATCCTGGGTTTTATTTAATTATTTCTTTGTTCTTTATGGATGTTATTCCTTTAGTCATCTCCCTGAACATCCTAAGCATATTTATTTTAAGCTACTTATCAGGTTGTCCTACTACATTAACTATTATGTACTGAATTAATATACAAGGTTTTTATTTTCTTGACTACTTTTTTAATAATAGGGTTTTTTTTTTTCCTTCTCCCTGGGGTTTCAGGAGCCATCAGTGGTCTCCAGGATTCCTTTCTCTGTTTATTCCTCTATGTCTAGTTTTGTGGTGCTTTTACTCTGTCCCCCAAATCCCTCATATCAAAGCCACATCTTTTTTATTTCTTTGAGTTTTTATTTATTTATTTTGACAGAGAGAACGAGCAGGGGAGGGGCAGAGAGAGAAAGAGAATCCTAAGCAGGCTCTGAGCTGTCAGCCTGGAGCCCAACGCGGGGTTCCGACTCACAAACCATGAGATCACGACTCAAGCCGAAACCAGGAGTCAGGTACTTAACCGCTCAAGCCACCAAGATGCCCGAAGGCCACAACTTACATTGAAGACTAGATACTATAAAGCAGTTGCTGTCACAAAGTCATCTGGGGGCTCAATTCCTTTTCTGGTCACAAGCCTGTGTTTTTTTTTCTTCTGTCTTCCACAGTTTCATATGAGCCCAGATTTTTTTCCCCCTTTCACAAGAGAGTGGCTTCTCACCCAGCCCTGATTTCAATTAGTGAGCTTGGTTCTTCTTTCTACCAACCTCACAGGGAGCAATTTACTCCACAAGCATCAACTACCAGGCTTTGCGCCCAGAGACAGTCGGGCCTGTTCCCTCATCTGTGCCTCTGCCGACCACCAATCGTTTCTATGTTGTATCTGTTCCACAGAGACACTTGCTTTACTTTATTGTTTTTAGTACAGCTGTATCTTTTTAAATTTTACTTTAAAAATTTTATCTATCATCGCTGTGTATTTGGAACTAAGGAGTGCTTCAAAGTATAAATTCACAGGGCCATTTGTATAAAAGTCGATAAATATTTGTTTTGAAACATTTGTTGAATGAATAAACGAAATGCTCTTTGCATTGTTAGAAGTCCCCCAGGGCCTTTGTGCTAGTCTCTCAGCCTAGAATGAACTTTGCCTCTTTTCAATCCTACTCATTATTCAAATATTATTTCCCCTACAAAGATTTCCCTGATGACCATATGCCCTACACAAAATTAATTATTTTCACTCTGCTTTCTCCTTGCATTTATTACAAATCTTTTATAGCATATTTCATATCATATAACAATTATCTTTATGTCTGTCACCTCAGCTAATTGCAAAACTCCACCTTATTTAACTCCGCATTCTTTGTGCCTCGCACAGTAGACTGCATTTTTACGTTTTCAAGTGTTTGTAAAGTTAATCGTTATGAACCGCAGACGAAAAGAATATACTATTTTAATCATTAAACTGTCTCTTTTCTAATATATGCTCAAGATGTGAAAATTTTTTATGTTGACCCAAGCAGTGTTAGGCCCATTTTATGTGTTACACCAATATGTGGGGAAGAATTTGTGATTTAAGTTCTACAAGGGCTGATCGGACCTTTAAAAGCAATAAAAGTGTACCGTGAAAAGAAGTTTTCCTTGTGTAACTTTAACCTCCTTGGCTTAGATGCCTGAAGGAGAAGCACTATGTCTTGTGTCTTTTTTTTTTTTTTAAAGAGAGAGAGAGAGAGAGTCCACCAGCGAGAAAGAGGGACAGACGGAGACAGAATCTTAAGCAGGCTCCGTGCTCAGCGTGGAGCCTGACGTGGGGTTCAGTCTCACGACCATGAGATCACGACCTGAGCCGAAATCAAGCGTTGGACGCTTAACAGACTGAGCCACCCAGGTGCCCGTAAGTGTAAGTGTCTTTTTATGTTTCTAATCCCAGGCATGGCAAGTGGCACAAAGTAAACCCTTAATGAGTGTTACTGAACTAAAACTGCAAAAGTTTTGCTGCCTATTACGGATAAATTGTCTCATTGTTATTCATACAATGTGTATAGAGCAAAATAGCAGCTATTATTAATAGAGATCCCCCTGCGTGTGGAGCACTGTTAACTATTTAAATTCAGTACTGTGTTTAACTGTTAAAATAACTGAGAAAGATATTTAATAATGGAAACCATTAATGAAAACAAGTAAAAAACCATACGCATGAGAATTAAAAGCACGGTGATATACCACTGTACAGAGACTGCAATGGCTAAACATGAGCGATACAAAAAGTATATTAAATAACCACTTTTCACAGATCAAAACGTTCTA